ACGATTCAGCACAGAAGTACATTCTGAATGATTCAGAGCCAGTAACAATAGCATGTCACATTCAGAGTTAATTCATCCAGAGCTCTGAATCATTTAGCATTTGAATCATTCAACACTTAATCATTCTGAAATAAACAAACAACCCCTTACCTTCTTCTCAAGCCGCTGTATTTGTCGAACGGGCGGATTCCAACGATCCGAAAGCCTTGGTTAACCTGAAGTTGACGAGCTTGAGCAATGTGAAAATCAACTGTAGACAAATCAAGCTGCGATGACATTAACTGCCAACAATGTGCACTGCATCACACTCAATCCAAACATGATTATATTGCATCTCAAGAACCAAATGAGGACCATAAGTGATTGCATATGCTTCAGCTATACCTGCATCGAAACAATCAGGGAGAGGGATGGCTTGGCAAGCAACCACCAAACCATGATGATTTCGGTCAACTAAACCAGCGGCCGAACGTCCTCCTGACGGGAATAAGCTGTATCTAAATTAATCTTCAAAACAGATTCTGGGGGCTTGCACCAGTGATCCAACGGAAGCCTGTAGGCGACAAAGGGGAGCCCGTTAAACGAACTGCAGCATCAAAAGAAGCAACCAGCCTTGCTTGTACTGACCACATGCCAACCTGGGATTAACCTACCCTCTATGAGAAACACATTGCGACGATTCCAAACAAAATAAAGCACCACTAATAATAGTCGAAACTGATCAAGGCAAAGCTGAAGAATAACGATAAAAGCCACTCGCCACCAGAAGAACCCCATCAAATAAACTTGAATCATGGAAACCGGCAGCTTGCAGATATTTCTTGTGTCTTGACAGTCCCTAAGGGCATGCAAACATGTCTCATTATCCAGCCCACACATAGGGCATTGACCATCGGATAACCCTGCCATTTGAAGACGTCGACAGACAGGAAGCGCCTCATGAGCCAGACGTCATCCAAAAATTCGATACTTAGGAGGCAAAGACAAACGAGATAAGCATAACCAGAGAGGTGACACTAAATGGGAACCTGTTGTCTTATCAACAAGAATATCTCGAACGAACATTATAAACCCCCGAGGAATGGCTAGACAAATCATAACATCTGTCGTTGTCGGAGCTATCAGACAGCTAAAATCGCAGTTGCATCTGGAGGTTGAAAGACTGCATTTTTCAAATGGGTATTCCAACGAGATTCGTTTCGCTCCATAATTCCCCACATTTAACTGGTTGAATCGGACTGTTGACATAGGTTGACGTAAATTGGATTGCATGAGAGGCGCCCCAACGATCAACAACATGCGTGAGGCACTATTCTGACCCACCCGCCTATGAAAACCGTACCTCAACTAAGCAGTAAAAATTCCCCTCAAAGCGAAAGACAGACGAGTGCTCAATCTAGACTAAAAATACAGCCAGTTGGGAAGTACTTTGCAAAGTACACACGGGTTAATAAGCTAGAGGGCGAATGGAGGCATCAAACCTGTTTACCAAGCAATACAAGATTAAATTGCCGAAGATCGCGAAATCCACGTCCATCAAGGAGTTTCAGCTGACAAATATTCTTCCAGACAATCATAGGCCAGCCACGATCAGAAGGACTACCTTCCCACCAATACGATTAGAGAATGGTTCCCATATCAGATACAAGACCTTCAGGAAGAATAGCATCCCATGAGATATGTATAGCTTGACGCCTTCACCCATATATAGAATATACACAGTCCGGCCGTGAAATGAAAGAAATGCTCTGTCCAACTACGAACCCCATAAGTAATCTGTCCCGAAGAAAACTAAAAGCATTATAATCTTGTTCTGATCGACTTCTGGCAGAGTCCCCAAATATCGGCCTGGCTCATCGATCAAGTTTACACCAATATGGAACTTAAAGTACATCTGTAGGTGTTATATGGGCACCAAAAAACAAGTTGGATTTACCAAAATTAACATGCTGCCCCGAAGCCTCACAGTAGATATGAAGCACTCCTGAACACAAGGAAACTTATTGATCGTGTTACGAAGAAAGAGGATACAATCATCAGCATAAAGCAAGTGGGTAATCCGAGGTGCCAACGCTTCACTCGAAGACCACCAAGGTGCCAGATTGCCGCTCATGAAGGAACGAGATAGACCTTGAGAGAACAGTAAAAATAGAAATGGTGACAAAAGATCACCTTGTCATAAACCACGTTCTGGTTTGAAACCTTCCGTGAGACATCCACTCACCTAGACACAATATGATACCGAAGTGACATATGACATAATGGGCGAAACCCAAGCCGGAGCAAAACTGAGCCGAAGTATCATATCTCTAAGAAAAGACCAGTCAACCCTATCATAGGCATTCTCTATATCAAGTTTCAAAGTTGCAACCTGACTAATTCCTGAAGGTGCCGTTTTAAGATAATAAAATAATTCATGGGCAAGAAGAACATTGTTCGCAACCTTTGGAATAAGCACAATGACTGTCGCATTTACATCCTCCATTAATGCTCGACCAATGAGAAGATCTAAGCAGAGCGTAAGAATGTCATCCCCAACAATCAGCCAAAACGTTCGGCAGAAACTGCCAGGAAGCCCATCTATACCCGGAGCTTAGTGTGATGCACTTGGAGGAAAGTAACATGAATTTCTTCTCAGTGTAATCAGCCATAAGAGCAACATTAATTTAGGAGTAACCACTGAAGCAACAACATTTAATAACTAACTAGTTGGTATTGGAACAGAGGATTGGTAAACAAAAGTAAAATAGGTATACACCTCATCCAAAATAGAGTCCAAATCATCTACCACAGACCCATCAGCTTTAATTAGCCGCCGTATATGATTCTTACGACACCTCCCTGAATATCTTGCATGAAAATAGGCGGAGTTAGAATCGCCCTGTGCAAGCCATTGAACACGCGAACGTTGCTTCCAAAATAGTTCTTCACGGCTAAACGCCTCATCAAATCCTCTCGAAGACGCGTAAACTCCTGGAGGTTATCCGAAGTCATCTGCTGTTACCATGGCGCAAAGCATGAATACCATTCCGATCGGCCTCTCGACGATCACGTTGCCACCGTTGAAGGTAAAACCTACAGATTGAATTTTCGAGAGCGTAGACCTGAGGTCGATTCCCAAGCTGTTTCCACCCGCTGAACACATTCAGGTTCATTCTGCCAACATTCTTCAAAACGAAAATAGTCCTCCCTCCGAGTCAAGAGAGAAGATAAAGGTTGAAGGGTATCCAACAGAACATAGCAATGACCCAAAGTAGCCATAAACTCACTCGAAACTGAACAAGACAAGTGAAGCGAGAGCCATGCAGGAGTACTAAGAAAACGATCCAGCGTTCACAAATAGCTGCTGTAGGAGAACCCCCTCTATACCATGTGTGCCATCCACGAATTGGCCTGATATCCCATAAGTTGTTCCGGTTAATACAATTACGGAAAACAGTCATATCAGAGCGAGATCTACGAAGACCCCCGGACTTCTCAGAATCCATAAGTATTTCATTAAATCCCACCCACTACCCATGGAAGTTGAGATTGCGGCCAAAGAGAATCAATGAGTGACCAAGTATAGATGCGGTTCCGATGATCACTACCGTATTTATATGATGATCTGAGTAGGATAACAGATCCATTGGAACAGAAGATCATAATACTATCAAACCAGAACAGAAGAAAGCTAGGTACACTAATGCAGCCATCCATATGCAAATATACTTAAGAGATTCCACCCGAGAATGTTGAAGTCGAGATTCACAAAGGAACAGTATGTCAGGACCTTTTCGAGCCACAAGGAGCTCTAATGATCGAACTGTATGTGGGTTCCCAAGCCCACGACAGTTCTAAGCTAAGATTCACAAGGAACACCTGCACCAGGGAAGATGAGACTTCTCCGGTAGCCATACACACCACTGCTAGAGTGGAGCCGTGAGTGAGAGAACGAGAGAATATATTTTCTTTTTCGTTAAAAAATCATTTAATCTAAGTTGAAAAAAAATTCATATACTTTTAATACTTGAAGAATATATATATATATATATATGCATATGGGTAAAATTTATTGACACACATAATTTACTTTCATTTTAATACAAAAATATTCTCATTTGTTCCGATTAATTTCAATCGATCCATTTTAAGAGGTTTGCACTTTAATTATCGAATATTTAAAACTTAAATTAAACGACTCTAATGTGAAGTTTAAAAAAATAGGTGACCAAGCATAAATATACGTAAATATATAATGGATAAAAACATCCGAATAAACTCAAAAGACACGGATTGATGTAAAGGAACGGCCTTGGATGAAAGGTTGAAGAAGGTCAAAGATAAGCTGTTTGACTGATAGATTCAACTAATCATATCATTATTGTTTTCCCACCTTTATTTCCCAAGAAAAAGAGAAGAAATTCAACTTGGTGATTCACGCCCCAGTAGGTGGCGGAATAATAATCACGCCGGTTTGACATTGAAAATTTTCATTATAACGGGTTTTTATGATCTCACCAGCGACAATATTCCACCAAATCCCTTGTTGTTTTCTATATATATTATCTTCTAATGAGATGCCAGCTGGGTTAGATGTAGAAAATCCAGAGATCAAAAGCTCTTCCTTTTGTTTCTCTTCTGTTTCTGGGTTTCTTAAGCTCAAATTGTAGAGGAAAAAATGGATCTTCTCGCCGATGCGTCTACCAAAATTCTCAACCCCAAACTCAAATATCCCATTTGGCTCTCGACATTGGAGGTTTGTTTTCCTTCCTTTGATCCTTGAATTTTCTCGAATTCCCCTTTCTTTACCCTGTTGGACCAATTATCGCCCGATTTAAATCCTCCCATTTACAGAGTGAATTTCGTTGGTTTGCTTGCAATATACGCAAATATATAATGGATAAAAACATCCGAATAAACTCAAAAAGACACGGATTGATGTTAAAGGAACGGCCATGGATGAAAGGTTGAAGAAGGTCAAAGATAAGCTGTTTGACTGATAGATTCAACTAATCATATTCATTATTGTTTTCCCACCTTTATTTTCCCAAGAAAAAGAGAAAGAAAATTCAACTTGGTGATTCACGCCCCAGTAGGTGGCGGAATAATAATCACGCCGGTTTTGACAATTGAAAATTTTCATTATAACGGGGTTTTATGATCTCACCAGCGACAATATTCCACCAAATCCCTTGTTGTTTTCTATATTATCTAATGAGATGCCAGCTGGGTTAGATGTAGAAAATCCCAGAGATCAAAAGCTCTTCCTTTTTGTTTCTCTTCTGTTTTCTGGGTTTCTTAAGCTCAAAATTGTAGAGGAAAAAATGGATCTTCTCGCCGATGCGTCTAACCAAAATTCTCAACCCCAAACTCAAATATCCCATTTGGCTCTCGACATTGGAGGTTTGTTTTCCTTCCTTTGATCCTTGAATTTTCTCGAATTTCCCTTTCTTTACCCTGTTCTGGACCAATTTATCGCCCGATTTAAAATCCTCCCATTTACAGAGTTGAATTTCGTTGGTTTGCTTGCTGATTTGTGTTTCTTTTTATGCCTACTTTGCTTCCAGTTTATCTACCGTCTAGTTAGTTTTTTTCTTCTTCTTTCTTCCCTTGTTTCCTAATTCTTTGATAGGTTTTTAGTTAAACTGTTTGAAAGTTAGCTTAACGGTTGTTAAGAGAGTTTGAGCTTTTGGGTATAAAGGTTTGACTATTTTTTCATATGTACTGAAAAGAAAGGAGTGAAACATTTACACTAATGCCTTTTCTTCACATTCCATTTAGATTCAACAATTTAAATTCTGAGAAGCAACTTATTGCAATCGTCTATGTTGGTTGACAGGTTCTTTGATCAAATTGGTGTATTTCTGTAGATATGATGATAGTTGTAGAGATGATGATGATGAGCTAATGTCCCAAAACGATAGTCTTTGTTCCAAGAGGGAGAACAGTCGACCTGTTCTTGAAGGGAGGCTTCATTTCGCAAAGTTCGAAACTAGCAAGATAAATGATTGCTTGGAGTTCCTTAGCTCCATGAAACTTTGCCTTGGTGGTATGCTTAATTTTGTTTTGTTTTTGTTGTAATCATTCCTTAAGATAGTTTTCCTTGAATATCATTAATTTTTTGTTGTCTTTGAGTGGATTTCAAGAAGCGTGCCTCTTAAATTCTAAGAGGCATTATGATTACCGACGACAATAATGTGTAACTTAGCCACACGACCTAAATAATAGGGGTTGCAAGATCTTATTCAAGTTTAGACGATGGAGTTGCTTAGTTTAATTTTACATGCAGGCTTATTTAGCACAATGAAAGTTATTTCCAGTTTCAGATATATTTTATTTAGCTTTGGCTTGTTCATTAGTGTGCCTTAGCTATATTTCAGCATCGTGCACTGCTAATATAAGTGATAGGATGTTCTTAGTTGGCTACTTCATGTAATTAAACTGCAACATGGAGAAGATTGTTGTTGTAATCATCATTTCCTTGGACTTAGCTGTCCTTAAATATCATTAATTGAATATGCTTTTGAAGCTTATTTTATTCTGATGTTGCTGAAGTTTATTTTCTTATCAGCAAATCTGAATTCAGGTTTCCATGATCGCTCTGCTCCTTCGAGTGATAAGATCTTTATAAAGGTAAAACTTGATTTCACATTTCTCTGGTTTCTGAAGGAGTTCGGTTTTTCTGGACATTCTGTTTTATAATCTGATAGGAGCTACCTATTCTTAATAATTGATCAATTTTATTATATCACGTAGCCAATGTTATTTTCCCCTCCCCCTTTATTTCTGACTGTTTTTTCAATGCTATAACTATTTACTGCTTTGAACACTTATTTCTCTCAACCTGCTTGTGTTAGACATGTGTTGTTGGATGTTTTGCAGTATAAACACACATTAAACAGTTAATATCTGTTTGCAGGCAACGGGTGGTGGTGCTTACAAATTTGCTGACCTTTTCAAAGAAAAACTTGGTGCCAGTCTTGACAAAGAAGATGAAATGGAGTGCCTTGTGACTGGTTCTAATTTTTTGCTTAAGGTGGGGATTCTAATACTGCAAAAATGTTGTTGGTATGCAAAAATTAGTCTCTTAATTTCATTAGTATTTAATCTCCGACTATCATGAAGCCGATCCTATCTGTTGTCCTCCTGAATATATGTGTGTGCTAATATTTTTTTTCCTTTTTCACTTTTTGGAAATTAATGCATGCCTGTTAAATGTATTGTATTCATTTTGGCTGTTTGTCATGATTATGGTATTTTTAACAGCACAGTAGATTATATGATGTTAATGGAGAATTTAACATTATGCCTCTCGCCTTAAGATAATCTATCTGTATTCATCAGTGTATCTAACTGGTTAACTATTTACAATCTGATACTATGGTCTGCTTATGTGTGAGAGAGAATGGAAAGAAATCGACATTACTATTTGATGGCAGAGTTCTTTTTACCTATGAGACTATTCTAGTTGGCTTTCTTCTGAGGTTTGACGCCTTATGGAGTCTTGGTGAGTTATAACAAAAGTGGCTTTGAAGTTTTATTCTTCTTAGTTCTCTAAATTTAGAGAATACACTTATCTTTATTTTTGAAAACTAAAGAGTTTTACTTAACCACAGAAGTTTTTACTTTTTCCTTTACTCATAGTCACGATGTTATCCGAAAGTTAGTGTGAACATTCCTGTAGTCTCTTTTCCTGTTAGGGTCGAGGAATATATTTATCAATACAAAATATGCATGGCAGTGAAATACAGTTCTAAGTTTACATTTTCAATGATATTGTTCTATGGGAGTTAGCATGTAGTTTTCTATGTTTTTTTACACTGAGTATATTTGCCTATTGTTCTTTGATAGGCAGTCCACCAAGAAGCTTTTACATACTTGGATGGGTCAGAAGGAATTGTTCAGATTGACCCTAATGATTTATATCCTTACCTTCTTGTTAACATTGGGTCCGGTGTTAGCATGATAAAGGTATTATTTTCATCTACATTACTTGGATAATATTTAAAGCTTTTAATATGTATAGCTAATTTTCAATCCTTTGGTATATAGGTGGACGGAGATGGCAAGTTTGAGCGAGTTAGTGGAACTAGCCTTGGAGGTGGCACCTTTTGGGGTATGGGAAGACTTTTGACGAAGTGCAAGAAGTAATTATCATGTCCCGATTGTCTACCCTAATCTTTGATTCCTTTAGTTTTGTGATTTTTGTATGTAAACAAATATATTTTCTGTCACAGTTTTGATGAACTACTGGAGCTAAGTCATCGGGGAAATAATAGAGTTGTAGATATGCTTGTTGGTGATATCTATGGTGGAACCGACTATGCAAAGGTACGGAGATGTCTTTCTTCTAACTTAGACAATGAGAACCTCTCCATATTGATGTATGTATATGGAGTTTTCCATATAACGGGACCTCGGTTTGCTTCAACACAATAAAAGTCTGTAATTACCATCTTTGACTTTTTGACATGTAACCAATTGAACTGCTTCACAACTGTTTTATTAATGGCAGTTTGGTCTCTCTTCAACAACAATTGCTTCCAGCTTTGGCAAGGCCATTTCTGATAATAAAGAGCTGGAAGATTACCAACCTGAAGATGTCCCGCTCCCTTTTACGAATGATTTCAATAATATTGGCCAGGTTAGTTTATATAATGGTTTTCTGGCTATGGTGAATCAAATATTTTTCCTAAAACAGGCAATATTTGAAGCTTGCCTGCCGAAGTGGAAAATTTGAGTCACCATATGGATTTTGGCCTCAATGTCGATAGATATTGCTTCTCACGCCTGGTCTGTCCTTTTACAATCATTCCATGTATTAGTGGCTAATTTGGTGGATAAGAATTCCAGATTACTGTTTTGCCTAATTGATTTTGTTGCAGAATTAATGTTAGTATCTGATACATATCATGCTTGTGGCTTATAATTAATAATAATTTGTTGTTCTGCTGGCTTCATTTTCCTTTCTTGTCCCAGATATCTACTTGAACGCACTTCGATTTGGCCTTAAGCGGATATTTTTGCCGGATTTTTTATTCGGGGTCATGCCTATACCATGGACACTAATCTGTTGCTGTTAATTTCTGGTAACTATAAACGCTATTGCATTCTAAATTTTCCCTTTTACCAAATCGATCTTCCTCGACTTTCAGTTTATTTTCTTGCTTTCTTCCCTGAAATGCAATCTTACAGGTCCAAAGGTGAGGCTAAAGCAATGTTTTTACGGCATGAAGGTTTTCTTGGGGCACTAGGTGCATTCATGAGCTATGAGAAGCAGTGTCTCGATGGCTTGACAGTCCATAAAATGCAGCAAAAGTTCCCCATCAGCTTATCCTCAGCCGGGGATAAGAGTTACTGTGCACGGAACAGTAATTCAGATGAGAATGGAAGTATGAAATGGAAGTATTGAGTGCACCGTATACGGAACATAGAGACAACATACAAGATAAGTGATTCTTATGGAAGACTCTAGGTAACCATGCAAAAAAAAGTTCCCATCTTGAAGGATGTGTATTACCTAATAGATATGTTGCAGGACCTGGAATTTCGACAGAAACCGATACGAAGAAACAATATAGTTACTAACAATTAGACAAAGATTGTGTTGATTTTCCCATCATTGTAGCTTACATGTACCATATATGTAGTTTTTTTAATGAAATTATTCACTTCAATCTGTTCTGAATATTTGATTCTGTTGTGGAGAGGCATTTTGGTACCTGATCTTCGTGATTTAACATAACTTCATTTGGAATATCCAAATGTAACAGATCGGTTTGAAGAAGTTATAAGTAATGCAGATTTTTCATTTTTCGTTGAAGTATTCATATTCGACACTTTTCTCTGATATATATTCGAACATCATATGATCTTTCAAATATATAAAAAATAAACATTATTATATTCATATCAGCCAAGTATCTGTATCCGAGACATGTAAGATAATACAAGTGTTTTGGAAGATTTCAAAAGTTAAAACGGGAACATCATAACAACGATGGGCTACTCTCATGCAACAGTCAACGTCCTCTTACCACGAGGCTTTGCATTTCTCCTATGAAGGTTCCATCTTTGTTTAATGTCGTGAATCTCCCCAACTTGATGATGTTCATTAATTTCCTTAACAAATCTATGCTCGTTTGAATTTTCAGCGTCAAATACACCCTTTAGTATGGCAGCTTCGCGCGCAGATGGATCAGCATCTCAGTGGTTTTGCAGGTTATTCCCCTCAGATACCAAGAAATGGGCGGGGGCGGTACAATGGCTGGCTGAATCAATTGGTCCAAGCTCACCTTCGAACCAATCCTTCCTTTACCTCCGGTACATGAACAATACTCTGCCCATGTTTTAGGTTTGAAAGGAAAGCAGATTCTTCATCGACGAACAGGCTCTCTCTCCAGTGGCCTTCAAATTTTTTCATGAATCCCACGTTTACTTGCTTGAACTTCATCTGTAACAGTCATCATTAGAATTTAAACCCGAGCATGATCTTTTTCGGTGACAACTTATGCATTGGGGAATTCTGACATGATAATATTAAGCAAAAATGAAATTAAGTGCTTCACTGAATGGAGAATCAAATCTTTTAAAGTCCAAGTACAGAAGCTTGAAAATTTTAATGTAATTAAGCACCACAAAATCAAAGTCTGACTTCATAAGAGAAGGCTCTCATGGATATTAACATCGAATAATCGAAAAATTAATCCTTACCGAGTGATCTTCTCTGTTTTGATCCACTAAACATGAACTGAGATGGTCCCTGACCACCAAGAGGAATCTACACAAAGCTGCTTGCTCCACTTCAACCACCTGCCTTTGACCTTCATCAACTAAAACCTTTCTAGATATCACTTCCTGAAGCATAAGATCAGCTTATTATATAAAAAAATACCTGAAACGGATTGAAACTTAGAAGCTACAAATGACATTGCCTAAGATTAGTAGTTTTTACCAAAGATAGAGAACATATCTACTACCGCAGGTGAAAATGTAAAGCTTACCTAATATTTTGAAAACTCTTTTGTTATCAGGATCAGTTACAATATTATACACAGCATCAGGAGGCAATCCGACATCAACTTTGCCCTTAAGATTGCAAAGAGAACCTTTTGGTACACTGACCTGCCAAGAATAACATTATTGCAAATTGATAGATGCTTAAGGTAAATATCAGACAAGCAATTGAGAAAGTAAGATGAGAGCAACCTAGTGTAAACAGTGGATAAGATAATCAACCTCTAATATAAAAACCAGGATTTTTCTTCGGTGTTGCCTATGTGGAAAAAAAATAGTACTATGAAAGTGTCCTCTAGGTTACAAAAACACATTCTATATAGCTCGTTATTCGAACTTGGGTGTGTCAGACATGAGCATGTGTTTGACGTGGGTATGTTCAGTTTCTCTATGTTTGTCCCTCTATTTGGGGGTTATATCCTTGTATCAACGTCCATAATTGTTTTCAAACACATGTCTAAGACGGGTACTTCGAGAAAAATGAAGAGTGAAAGCAGCATAGTATGCTAGATAGACAACATGTTTGAGACAAAGGTGAGACTACAATCTCTTGATAATGAAACCACAATTTCCTCAATAATCTTTACTTAATTTCTGGGGGTTGATTGACCCATGTAGGATTTTTCTCCAATCTTGCAATTGCTTCTCCAGTTCAATCCCAATCCGGCAGATAAACCCTTCTTCCCAAGAGAAGAGTTAACCGAGTTTGTTTCTCATTATCTTTTGCTAATCTCTTGATCCGTGACTGTAATAAAAAAAAGGACCCTGCCCTTCAAAATCTAATATAGAAAAACCCATCCATCAAGTTCACCACAGCTTTCCAATTTCCATTGGACAAGTTCCCCTCTACATACGAGTCATGACTAACCTTAAGACAATTTTGAAGTTGGTTTTGGAAAGCTGAACAAAAAAGGCAGAAAAGGCTGGATCAAGAACCTTCAGTTTTCCATTTCTTCACTCCTAGGAATATCAAAGCTTACTTTTTTCCCTTCCATCAAACCTGTCAAAATCTAAACATTAATACAACGTTAATCCACAAAAAACTAAAAGATGTTCAACGTAATTGCTTTGGGGGAAAAAATACTATAAAAGCAGTTTACAGATAGCAGAGAATGCAAAGCTTAGTGGCAAGATATTTGGTAACTAACATGAGACTTAGGTATTAGTTTCTCGATTATGCCTCGTTTCAAATATTAGATGCAAAAGCGTATTAAACACCAAAACCTATATAAACTTTGAATAAATCCGGGATGAAGGATATAACATAAACTAATGCTTATTCACCGAGTTGAAATGTAAATTTGTCATCCTACATACTAAAGATGACATAAGACTAACCCTTAGTTAAACAGACACCCACCCACACTGAGACAATCTCTGGAATTACTACCGATTTGTAATCTCCGACCATACAAGAAACCCAAGAAATAAACCATATTCTAGTTAAATGCTCTGGATAGGTCAAGCACATTAAATCATTATCTCTAAAATTTCTACTGCAACCAGAATTTGTGGGGGGATAGGGATCTCTGCAGTAAACCAAAATTTCAGTTAACAATATCTTTATATGTATTTTCATCAGCCATTAACTGAAAGCACATAAGTTAAAATGGAGTAAATCCATCAGCCATTAACTGAAAGCACATAAGTTAAAATGGAGTAAATCCATTAAAAGCTCCAGTAATAAGATTAAAGTAACAATTATTCCACAAACCTCTTAAGTCGGCTCTAAACTGACGTCAGATATGAAAGAAATTTATGCATAAATGAAACAATTCTGAGACAAATTCTTAGCAGTATTTCATGGTCTGCCGCAAAATTCAAGATTCTAATTCAACATAGGCCAATTGGAATCGATACCCATTAAAATTTACAACGAAAAAAAAGATAACGGAAAAATACCAGAAAACACCGAATCAGAAAAGAAATATAAACATGACAAGCAGTAATATATCAGACTTTTCAATGAAGAATTAAGACAAAGATAACAGAGAATATGGGTTTAACTTACAACATGAATCTGGTGACAAGAATGCTCATTCCAGTTGAGATTCGACGTGAAAAAAAAAGAGCGCGGGAATATGAAATTCTGGCAGGAAATTGTAAAAGGGATTTATTTTCTTGTGTTTTTCAGTTTCTTGTTTAGAATTTTAGAAGTTAGGTACAACACGCGACGCACATGGAGCGCGGAAATTGGAGGAAGCAATTGTTGTACGTTTGCAACTTCAACCATTCACTCAAAAAGAAGCTCACTTTAACTTCCAGATGGGTAATTCACATTGTGGTTCAACCATGTTTATAAAATATTGTTAATTTTAAGAATATTTTATATATTTTTATTTAAGTCGCATTACGTAAATTAAAAATAAGCTTGTAGCAGTCGTATAAAAAACTAGCGAAAATTAATATAACGAATGAATGAAAAAAAAAACAAATTTTACATGGCACAACATTAAAACATAGTAATATATTACGGTTTAAAATTTTTTATTAGGAGAGAAATAAACATTTATATAAATATTTTAGTGCCAATAAATTTATGATTTCAAAATAAATAAAAAATATCAACTAATTATCATTTAAAAAAAATTCAATGAGAATGGTCAGACAAGGGATGACCTTCAAGGTGGCTGGATTGGGATGCTTACACTTCTAAAATATAAAAACACTAACTGCAATTACAGGTTATTTATGAGGCCTATTTACAAAGCCAAGTCCCAAGTTTAACTAGTTCGCTACTTAATATTACCAGCAAAAGAAGAAGAAGAAAAGAGTAACAAAATTACACGTGCAAGCCTGCAGATTATGGGTTTCCAATTGTGGTCACAAAAGGCACCAGCCTTCTATATTCCCTTCTTCTCCCCAAGGCGCAGCTATCGAGCACCCGCCCGAAGATCAGTCGGGTGTTTTGCAAGGCCACCTCTTTAGGTGGCATACCTGAGTCGGTGGAGAATGGTTTGCATGACTGATGTTGAAACTACTCCGTACCCTGGTCCCAAAGCATACTGCAGCAGCCCGCTTCGAGCCATAAATGAGGTCTGAGGAGCTAGTGTCTTCTCATCTGAGCCGTTTTCAAATGCCCCGGACTTGTGTGTAAGTGTACCAGTCAATGAACTACAGCTCTACAAAAGAGCTTCAAATACGCTAAGTGCCTCTCAACACAATGAGCTCTCCACTAGTGGGACACGATAGCGTACATATGTGGGCTTTGAGCTGAATCCATGGGAGTGTGCTGGAGCAATGCCTTAAGAATGCGCAATATTACACGTTGATACTCGGTTTGGTCTCTCCAGTAGCCGCAGCAAGTGTCCAAAAGCCAGAGCTGAGTGCTTAGGGAACCATTCATTGCATAACAACGGTGATATGCAGGCAAGAAGATTCTCAATGCATCTGGAAGCTAGGAAACTATTAAAACACTATACACATACACTTTGTAGCTGTAAAGAGTGAAGACACCTAAAAGCTCTAACGAAGGCAAAACAATCTGAAGCACAAATTCTAACATGTTAAGGAATTTGTGGAATGAATTAGCAGTGACAATTATGAAAAAGGGATCCTGAGAACCATGAAATATTCATTATTCTGCTTTGTTCGCAATGAATTGATTTTGTTGTACATGAAACACCTATTGGACCTAGGTTACATGATAGAGGTGGTTCACTCTTTTTCCATAATCAGAAAGCCCACTACCAAATTTTCAAACCTCAGACCTTCAAGATAAACTCCAAGATTTTCAACCACAAAAAGGGAATAATAATAATAAATCCAAAGGTTTAGCCAGCAGGATGCCCCTTTGTAGACAACGTTATTACCAATTTTTTGTTACAGAATGTCACAACCTACATCTTATGTTTTACCATGTAAAGGGGAAAATGACAACATATGAATTTTTGTTGAAAATTTTCATCATAACTAGAAATTCAGAAACCCTTTTATAGTAATTTTAACAAGTTCAAAATCAGTCATTTCTATGAAATTTTAATGTCCCAAACAACAACACAGCTACCTGATCCGAGATAAGGCGCCTAGGAGTTGGGCAACTAAGTCAATAAAGAGACCGCAAATCAACTAGTGAGGGATACTCAACTTGGCTAACACCCTGCAACAAGAATTTATTTACTATAACTCATTATTCCGGCAAGATCATGCATAAGTAAATAGTTAGGGTAATATCCAAAATCTCTTAGGCAGTATTTCTATATTAAATATTATACTAACATTAAAAATGCCATAGACAATTTATTAGGCTAATAATGAAATGTTTTTCCCTTTTCGTACTCAGATGGAAATGCAGCAAAGTAATGAAAATTATTTTGGTATAATTGGTTCTGTTCTTTGGGTAAGACGAGTCACCAACGCTAAGGAAGCTGGCATAAAATGCAACCTTTACAGAATTCAATATTTGTAACAAATACCATATAGCATCCATCTGAAGAAGCATATAGATGCAGCTGCATGATAAGGATATACCTTAATCAAATTCTCAAATGCAAAACATATATTTGTATACTTCAATTAACAATTTCTGATGACTTGGTTGAGCAGGCTCTCTGCAGATATTTAATTTGAACTTCAATTCAGGTGCACAGTTTTCATTTTTTTATGGACTCTTTAGGAGAATAAATCAGCCTGGAGATGAATCCTCCTTTATATCGTACTACCTACTTTCTTATTGTTTGGTTTAACACCTATAGTTGGCAGCTTGATAGTTGTTATTAGGACTTTATTCTCCAAAATTATGCCAGTTCACATATTTTGGCATAAGTTATTGCTAAAGTTGCCAAACAAACAATGACATGATGTAGCCTTCCCATCTGTTGGTCCCCTAAATATGTTTAAGCTAAAATAAATGAAAAAATGATGAAATTGCTAGTTTCCTTGTTCTTATTGGCTGTAGACTGTAGTAGTATATAAATACATAGGCTTGTATCATTGTTTTAACTTAAGTCAATAAAATAATCTATTTTTCCACATGGTATCAGCAAATTTGCTTCTTGGGAATTCTATTTTCATCCCCCCCTTTTTAAAACAAGTTCAACTACACTTCTATTGAATTTAGGCAGAAGACTTCTACAAATTGAAAGCTTCTGGATCACCTTGTCAAATGAATCGCTGGCAATTTAGCAAATTCACTACCTTCATCAAGCCACAAAGCAAATCACTTGGTAACCAAGGACAAACTGCTTCTCATTCAACATTAATTTTAAGCATGACAGTATAATACTGAAGCTATAGAAATTTAATATCTAGTCAACCCTTTACTCAAACAAGTAGCTCCTGATCAAAACTCATCCTAGTAAGCACTAAAGTATTCTAGCAGCTGAATAACTTCTTCTTTTTTATAAGAATTGGAGGTCTCATTAAAAACTCCCTTTGTATTCTTCCACATACTTAGAAGTAGTTGAAGAACATTGGAAGGAAGAAAAGAGTGCCTCAAATTTATTAAATAGAAGACCAAGTACATGTGGTAACACCGAACCCTCATACGGGAATATACACCATTACAACCGTATCATCTAATAATCCTCCAACTTCAAACAAAAAGCCCCTAAGACAATAACTCTAATTCTAGAATACACCTCAAGATGTATAATAGCAAAATAGAAACCAACAATTACAACAAACTAAAAAATGCCTGAGAAGATAGCTGGCGAACAATCACGATCCGATTGGAAGAACAAGTTCTAATGAAATATCGCAATCTTCAGGGACCCAAGAGTTAGGTTTGAAGGACGGATCAACTTCATGCACCAAGATTTTGAATAAATTATCACCGACCTTCAACTCCATTAACTCATCAATTCTCCCTTGAACATTTGTGAGTATTTGAATTTTAGCCCGATCAAAAGACGATGGAAACTCACAACTGCTATCAATTGCTATTAACTTGCCCCAATTAGTTGCGATGTTTTTGAAAGTATCCCAATTCCAAACGTGAAAGGGAATACCCTCGCAAACTAACCACACGCGCCGACACTCCACCACAAGGCTCTCTGACCAAGTTTCCACTCTGGAAAATCATTCTGCAAGAGTCTCTAACTTATCCTCCTTCACGCTTCTCAACAAAACAGAGTCTTCAAACACCATTAGAACTACATTTCTAGCAGCTCTCATTAGCGTGAAACCAGCTAGTCCTTTGGCTTGTATTTGGTTAGCAAGATTACCAATTTTGATAAAGTTCTTGCACCACCCCCACAAGACAATTACTCAACACGTGAAGTTTATCTTCGTCCACAACACCCTCAACTTCACATTGTTTATTCCTCGGACAATCTTCCATCCCAGACTTACTTTGAAAAACTGTCGAGGACTTTCGCCAGTAAGACTGTCGGGGTTTATATTTAGCCAAAGAGACTCTAATTTTGCTGTCGTAAATATGATTACCATTCATCATAGAAATCGCTTTCCTTGCTTCTTCAATTGTAGCATAGCGTATAAACCCAAAGCGAACCCCATTCGAGTTTTTTTTTAAGAATGAAGGCATCAATAACTCGACCATGTGTACCAAATATAGATCCAAGTCTCTTCCAATGGACCTTCTCAGGAATGTTTTCGATAAAGATCGTGTAACAACCATTTCTAAACCCATCACCGATTATTGGCTGACCTTCCTTCCACCAATTATGAAACCCAGTTCTTCTCCTTCCCGCTTCTTCAGAATCGGAATACCCTTTCGAATTGATCTCCTTGACTCCATCATGATCAACATCAGCGCCAGAAGGAGCTGGTGTTGCCTTTACTAAAGAAAGCTTTCCGATCATGTTTTTCCCTCTTTGTGAAGGAGACTTACCAATGTCATCAACTCTGACAACAGGTGGCTGACAGTCCAAAGTTGCTTTGGTGGAATACTTCTTCAAAGGATTGTTTGATAGTGGACTTTCACCTGACCTCGCTGAATATGTTTCCAAATTTTGTTGATTTTGGGTCGTAGGAAACTGTCTGTAAGTAGTACTGTCAGGCTCAACTATCCAACCAGCCTCACGTGTCAAGGCGGCCAGTACATCGTTCATAGCATCATGCAGGGGAAGAGGGAAGTTACCATATTGCCTCAATCCGACCAACATGCGTCTGATGAAAACTCGCCTGTGCCGTTTTTGAATCTTTGTCCTCTCCTTTACTTTCTCACTTTCACGTTTTTCCTTACCCGAGTAAGATGACGTGGTTGCACCGGCGAATCTAGAGGTCTTGAAAAACCTACCTCGTGCT